TATTCTAAACGTGAGTATTTTAGATAAATAGGGTAATTAAAAGTTTAAGCACGTGATTATTTTGTACCTAAATTACGGCTCCTAAAAATTTAATGAATTCAATAGTTGACTCAGCAAAAAGATGAAGTTCTTTTTGATGTAACTTTATATTACAGATTTTTTCTGTTATATATAGACTCGGCAGATATTTCTCTGTTCTCTTTCGCATACGGCAGTCACAGTCATTCACTCATTCACGCTATTTGTAACATCCCTATTGTTATCGGTTTCAGGATTATGATCAATATTTATCCAGGCTGAAACGATGCTTCAACATGTTCGCATTATCAGCTAGCAAATGTGAACTGAATGCATTTAACGAGTGCTCGTATACTCTCAACACAGCACTAGATTCATTATTTTCCAAGCGATTCAGACATCCATTTGATGTTGCTTTTTTATTTCCCTGTGAAATTCGTGCACAAGTGGAACAAATATGTGATGTATTAAGAGCTAAAATTGATGTTTTGTATGATCATTACTATCGTGCTGAGTTATCACGTCCAAATCTTGATTTATATTTGCAATCCAATGATCATCATGAAACAAAACTGACCGTCATTTTTCTGTCCAAAGAACATGACTGCAAGGAACAATGTGGCCTCGAATTTCATGCAATAGAAAATCTAATCAAAACAAAACAAGACGATCAAATTATGTTGCTAAAAGATCATTCTCATCGTATGTCGACGCGATGTCGTGATAATACACCTGCTGAATATCAACCGTTATTTGAGAATAGTGGATAAACGTCGATGATACTACTGAAGTAGAAGGCATTTGTGAACGTGATGGTCATCATAATGTGAAAAACACTTCAGCTGATAATGTGGCAAATTATATTCTACAGCGATTAAGACTCGTTGATGTATTTTACAATCTGCAACCCTGCAGCAAAGCTGATGATCCAGTGAAACATGTACTATTGGCGTGGTTAAAATGGTTTAGAAAAGCGCTTGTACCAATATTTCACCTTCCACAAAGTTCAAGGGGGCTACTACTTGCATTAGCCTTTATTTGTTTTATTTTCGGCGTTGGTTTTGCCATCTAGACACACCACCTACTGAAGAATAATGCAACAGTCATACAACAGAAAATAGTATACATTTTTTCTAATGCTAAACAGATGTACGCGGAACAAATTTATGCGTAATAAAACCGACTCTCATACTTGGTCAAATGATGTCAGATTAGATCTTCGTCACTTTTTGTTTATTTACTGTAGACATATCCATACGATCCGACTTTTCTAAGAAAATTTTGTTTTTTTCTTTTCGGATTTTTGAAAATTTTTAGATAGGCTTACAGAGAACTTCCTCCTCTACCTAAGTGTAAAAAGGGCGCAAAAAGATAAATAAAATTAAGAAATTTATACGAATTATAAGTTCAAAGAGAGAAAAATCGTTTCCAATTGCCCCAGTTTACTCTATCTTTATTTTTAAAACAATAAATTATTTTTTATTTCTCTGTCTTTATTCTTTTAAATATGAATGACTCATTTATGTTTATTTATTATTATAAATGAACAATAAAACTAAATTAACAGCCCTAGTCTGCATCGAGACTGATGATTTTAGATAGAAAAAATGCGATAAGTGTTAGATCAAAATCAAATCGGGGATACCCCCACGACTCTTCTACCGCTAAAACCAGACCTGCATCTATCTGTATTTTCCAAAGTAACACTAAATTAACACCCCTAATGTAGAAATCATTTAAGTTTAAAGATAAAATACCCAGTTATTTACAAACAGATAGCCAAGATTCAGATACATTAGAAAAACTATTCGCCTATCGGTTAGACGTTCTGAAGAACACATTCGGCTGTAGAAATTCCTAACATGCCGTGTCATCGTGGTCATCTATTAATTTACAGTCGCATGATGCTTAATCCCAGCTGCTTCAGTTCATCCGACTAGGACATAATTTTGAGAATAGCTGAAGCTTATAAGTGCTATTATATTACAGAAACATTGCTCTAGATTTAGTGTATTATCTCACATTCACTAAATTTAAACGTAATCGAAAAATGCAACACTTCAAGTTCTTCTACTCTTTTTAAGGATTTATCTTGCAGCTTATTAGCATTAATAGACAAATATGGAAATTTTGCATGAATTCCACAAATTTAAGCTTGGAATTAACCTCATGTTTGAAAGTTACGTATAACTGAATGTTAAAACTTGAAGGCTTTCACACCATTAATAGAGTGTGGGATAAAAAATATCGCTGGGATAACATGCAGCTTTTTGGAAAACATGTTCTTAGAAAACTCAGATCGCATGGATATGTCTACAGTAAATAAACAAAAGGTGACGAAGATCTAATTTGAAATCATTTGACCAAGTAGTAGTACATATCAACTACGAGTTGGCAAAAGAAGACAGTGTACAGTTCCTAATCTCACAAGTAGATTACCGGCTAATACTCACCTACATGGGCACAAATATTTTCTCATTCAATACGCGTACAACTTTTTTCATTTTACGATTTTTTCTCAAGTAACAAGACAAGAATCAAAACTTTCTAATCTTTTCGTCAATACAACGGTCTACAAACACGTTGTTAGATGAGTCTCATTCTTTAATTATATGTATAAAAAATGTGTTTGTTTTCGATGATAAACGTCATATGATACATATACAAGAAGAAGTCTTTCTTCGTTTCTCATATAACAGTACAGTTTAACATTACAATAATTTTGAGGAACTTGAAGTTCAGATACATCAACTAATCTTAATACAGATCTTGATCAAGACTTACTACGGTTGAGAGTCTGACGTCTTTAAAATTCTGTATCAGATCTTGAGAAGATTTGGCAACTTTTCTGAACTCATTAAAAAATTACTAATAGGGAAATTAGTTCAATCTT